AAAAAAAAAAGACATCACTAATTGCCTCCCTGTTTCCTCCAGCAAAGCACAGTGATACTAGAGGGGAAACAAGGTTCTGCCAGAAGAGCTGAATTTCCCCATTTCCAGGAGCTGTTTCTTCCCTTTGGGTAAAGGTGGGTGGTCTAACAACCCATCTCATCTCCCTCGATGAGTCCAATGCTTATCCTAAAAGATAATTGTTATTAACACTGATAAATTCAGTCTGGGAGCTCATACAGCTCAGCTCATCAATATGTCCTTACTATTAGCATCAGAAAAGGAGTAAGATTTTAACTCAGGCATTGTTTTCAAAGCTGGTCTTACACAGAGTAAAGGAAGAGAAGACATCACACAAAATACAAGGGAGAAAACTAGATTACAAGATGCAGCAGTTCAAATGTGATAGAAACAAAATACCATTTTCTACCCGCCAAGTTAGCAAAGATCTAAACAGCATTCTCTTCAGTGTTGCCAAGGGTGCAGTGGGACCGCCATCTAATGGTGCAGGTGAGGGTGTATGTTGTACAGCCTTCTGGAAAACAATCTGGCAACATACATACCATAAGCCCGAAAATGGTTTATAATTTCTGACCCTAACAAAATAACCAGAGGGTCAAAGGATCTAAGACAGTTTATCATGGTGTTATTTTGGGTAAAAACTGAAAACAGCATAAACATCTAGAAATTGGAATGATGAAATTTGTTCAGCCACCAGATGAAATGTTATAATGCCACTGAAAAAGCACATCTCACAGGCTATTAAGTAACACTAGAAAACGATCTCAATAAAGTGAAAACTGGAGCCAAAAAAATATATTTTTATAATCTCTATATTAAAAAAAAAAAGTATATGCATAGAAAAGACCAGAAAGAAAATACATCAAAATGTTAACAGTGCTTATCGCTAGGCTGTGGAATTATAGGGGATATTTCATTTCATTTCTATAGGTCTCTGAATTATTTGTGTCTTCTACAGTGAGCATATTATTAACCAGTGGATAAGGTTGTTGGCTTTCATCAATCCCCAAAGTAAGGGTACTTATAAACTTACTAAACAAACGATCAGAAACGAGCAAGAGCTCAAATCAAAGAAAATAAAACTGGGACAACACATTGTGAATATCTGCTGTCAAAAATCCATCCACGAGCCAGAAGAGGCAAAGTACTCGTCTGTGGACCTGCTGAGGCTGCAGGTTCTGGACCCATCACTATGACTGTTTCTCTTTTGTAAAGGGGGATGTAGAAAGGG